CACAGTCGCTGCAGGCAGGCCATGATGTGGTGGCACTGGGCCGGGCTGGCGTGGGTGTGCGGCTGGGCTGGGCTGGGCTGGGCTGGGCATGGGGCTTGATGTGGAGAGCAGGCCGGCAGCCAGCCAAGGCTCTCGGCAGGCGGGCAGGCGGGCTGAGGGCGGGCCGAGCCCCGGCGGGCGGGCGGGCGGGGGGTGCTTGATTCCGCGGCGTGCCGCAGCCTGCTGCAGCGGCTGCACTGGCGTTGCCCGGCACACGGCAGGGGCGTTGCCCAGCATGCCGTGCCCACCCTCCCAACACTCACGTGCCCTGCCTCCCTGCCCGCCGCCTGCAGGTGCCTTGGTACGCGGTCCTCGGTGAGTTGGGCTGCGCCCTTGTGCGGGCCCGCCTGCCGCCCCCCTGCCCGCCTGCCTCCGTGCTTGATCTCGCTGCCCCACCCGCTTGAGTACCAACCAGACACACCACACACCAGAGCCATGTGCACCACACACACCTGAGCCACTCAACACCCCCCACCTCCCACACCTCCTGGCCTCCTCCCGGTCCCGCCCCACCCCGCCCTTTCTTCCCTCCCTCCCTGCAGGCAACCACGACTATTGCGACTCCGCGCCCAACTGCTCCCGCGGCATGCCCAGGTGCAAGTACTCGCCTCTGCACCAGGTGCGTGGGTGGGTGGGTGGGTAGGTGGGTGTGGGTGGGTTGGGTGTGGGGGTGGGGGGGTGGGCCCGCACGCCGCCCCGGGCCCGCCCCACAGCCAGCAGGCCTGCCAAACCCGGCTTCCTGGCTGGCCGGCGCGCTGGCTGGCCGGCTCGCGGCCGGCTTCTGGGCATCACGGGAGGGGGACAGGCGGCTCCTTTCGAATGACGGCGGTGTGTGGAGCGCGTCCCTGCGCAAGCCACACACACCACACGTGACGCTCGCCACCCCCACCCCACCCCCACCCTGCCCCGCTGCAGATGAACCTGGCGCTGGCCAGCCGCGAGAGCAGCCGGCGGTGGCACCTTAAGCGCACCTACACAGAGTCCTTTGCCGACGGGAAGTGAGTGCCCGGCCCCCGCAAGCTGGCGCCTGCCGCTGCGCCCCATTCAGCGCTCAGCAAGCCTCGCCGCCAGGCAGCGACCACCTGCGTCGCTCCCATGCCCTGCCCTCCCACGCTGCCTGCCCTCCCGCGCTCCCCACGCCACCACCTGCTGCCTACCCTCCCACTCAACCACCTGTGCCATCCCCACGCCCCCACACCACCACCAGTGCCCCTCCACGCCCCCACACCACCACCCGTCTCCCTGCCCTCCCGCTTCCCGCAGGGTCCAGCTGTTCTTCGTTGATACCTCACCCTTCATCCTGCGGTACTACGACAAGAGCAACAGCTGGAGCCGGTGCACGGGTGCGCGCGGCGGCGGGTGGGAAGGAGACCCCCCGGCCGGGGCGCCTCTGGCCTCTGGCGGCCGGGAGCGGCAGCAGCGGCGTGCCTGCTCTGCAGCCGCGCTGCAGCTGGAGCTGCTCCTCCCTGCCTGCTCCCTGCTGCCGTAGCGGTGTGTGTCTCTGTGGTACTACCGCCGGCGGCACTGTTTCCTCCGCTGGGGGCTTTTGCTGCGGCGACGACGACGTTGTGGTGTGGTGTGGTGTGCCTGTGCAGGCGGCCTGTGGACGCAGTCGTGGGAGGAGCAGCTGCTGCTGCTGGAGCAAGAGCTGGCGGCATCCATGGCAGACTGGAAGGTGGGGCGGGGACCGGGGAGGGGCCAGGCTGGCAGGGCTTTCGCAGGGAAGGGAGGAACAGCAGGGGCTGCCCGCCTGGCTGCCGCCCTCCTGCCTGCCAGCTGGCCGGCCGGCCGGCGGCGGCTGCAGCAGACCCCCAGCCCAGCCGAGGCGCCGAGGCCGCGCCGGGAGGCGCCCTGTTCCTTCCAGTTCCACGCCTTCCCCTGGCCCTATGCTTCCGCTGCCCCCTCCTTCCTCCCCATTCTTACCCTGCCCCCTCCCACCCGGCCCATCCTTTCCCTGGCCCCTTCCACCCGCCCCACCCTTTCCATGCCCCCTCCCGCCCTGCCGCAGCTGGCTGTGGGGCACCACCCCACGTATTCCAACGGCCACCACGGCAACAACAGCGAGGTCATCGCACACCTGCAGCCGCTGTTTACGAAGTACGGGGTGCAGGTGCGGGGTGGGGGGTACGAGGGTCACAGTATGCCCTGTAAGGCGGGGCGGGCAGGTGCAGAGGGGCAGGGCGGCAAGGGTGGTGGGGCTGGGCGCGCCGAGGGGGCGCGGCGGGCAGCCACCCGGCAGCCGTTTCCTCTCGTCGCCGGGTTCAGGGTGCGGTGTGCGGCTGGGGGGCCTCTCGGGAGTGCCTCGTGCCCCCGCTGGCACCCTTCCCGCTGACCGCCGCACGCCCGCAACGCCGCCGCCCCAGGCCTAGCCTACATGCGCGGGCAATGTATGCGTGTGCGGCGGTGGTGGTGGTGGTGTGTGCGTGGGCGTGTGTGTGTTTCTGTGTGGGACTGCGGGTATCTTCCCTAGAAGTTGCCACATCACGCCCCCGCCTCCTGCCCATTTGAACGATGCGTGCCGCAGGCCTACCTGTGCGGGCACGACCACAACCTGGAGCACCTGGCCGTCCAAGGCTACAACGTCATCGTGTCGGGCGGCGGCAGCGAGTCGGGGCGCGAGAAGGTCGGCTCCGCCTTTTCCCACTACTACTACCCCTACTCGGGTGGGTGGGAGGAGGGGGTTGTGGGTGTGGGTGGGTGGGGGTGGGGAGTGGGGGTGGGGTGGGGTGGGTGGGGGGGCCGCCTCGCCCCCCCGCCCCCCCCCCGCCCCCACTGCAGGCTGTGTGTATGTGTGTGTCGCTGCTGGTGGCCCCAGCTCTGGGAGATGGTGGTAACTTTTTTCTTCTGTTTTGACCCTTTTGTCTGTTGTTTTTCTTTTGCTTTGACTGCAGGCTTTGTGTCGCTGCTGGTGGACCCTGAGGAGATGGTGGTGAAGTTTTACACGCTGGAGGATGATGACCTGCCTGCGCACACCACCCTCATCACGCGGGCCGGCGACTCGATGCGGCGGCCGTGACCCGCTCACACACCGCCATGACCGCGGCACACACACACACACGCACGCACACACGCACACACGCACACACGCGTCGCCCTCCGGCGTTTGTGGGGCCCCACAGAGTGCTGGGGGTGTGTGCCACGGCAGGCATGCCGTGAGGCGATGCGGGGGCGGCTGCGCGGTGTGCGGAAGCCTGCGCTGGAGTGGCATCCGCCGCGGCGGTTGCTGGCCCTGCAGTTTCTGTAAATTAATTTGTCCTGCTATTGCAATTTAATGGCGCACCCAATCCCTAACTATGTAAAATGCAATTGGCTGCCACCGCCCGCCCGGGCGGCGGTGCCGCGCTGCTGCGGCGCGGCCAGAGCAATGGACTGGGAAGAGCAGGTAGGAGAACAAGAGTAATGGGTTTGTGGATGCCCACTCTGCTGCTGGATGTACGCATTGAGAGTATGAGAGGCGTGAGTGGCGAGCGGCCGCTTCAAGCGCGGCGTCTGTTCAAGCGCGGCGTCGCCGCCTGGAAAGGATTTGGAAAATACCATCAAATGCAAACGTGCGGTCAGCGTCTGGGCATCGGATTTCGATGCTCGGTGCCCTCACCGTGGGTCGCTGAGGTCTCCCCGTGCTCAGGGCCCCGCCATGGGCTCGGAGCTGTCGCTGTTGCCAGCAGTGGCACAGTCGCAGCGGCGGAAGCCTGGCTGGCTCATTTGGCTGGCGGTGGTGGTGGTGGTGACGCTAGGTGCGGGGCGGAGAGGGGATGGGGGCGCCGAGCTGGGACACACAGCGGCACAGCGCATGTGATGGCACCGCTCCCGCCGCCGCTGCCGACGGTGCTCCCCTCGCCCCTCCTCTGTGTGTTCACCTCTGTGTACAAGCAGTGCAGCTGCCGTGCTGACCACCCTCTCCCTTGCTGCCTGCAGCCACGGCGCTGCGGCAGCGCATAGAGTGGGAAGCGGGAGGCGGCCTGCCGCGGCGCCCAGACCTGGGGCTCGACTCCGCCGCTCTGCACGCCCGCCTGACCCTGCCCTGGCGGGAAGCGCTGACTGAGAAGGAGCGGCGGCGTGGGATCACATACTACGGCAGCGGCGACCGGCTGCAGGCGCTGGGGCGGCGCCTGCTGCAGGGGCGCCCTGTCAGCATCCACCTCATCGGCGGCTCCATCACGTTTGCTGGAAAGTATGCGGCACAGGTGATGCAGTGGCTCAACGCCAGCTTCCCGCACAGGTGAGGGTCAGGGGGCGTGCAGGCGGGTGGGTGGTGGGTGGGTGCTGGCGGCAGAGGGGAGAGGGTGGCTGCTGCGGCGGCGGCAGGCATGCCCATCGGCTCACGCTAACGGCAGCTCCAGGGGGCATGGCAGGGGCACGCTTCTCGTCTGCAGAGCGGTGCTGTGCTTGCTGTGACAAGCTGGCCGGTGCTTTAAGTGGCCGAACTTCAACGCTGCCCCCAGGCATCCCTTTGCCGCTTCCGCCACTCCTCAAGGCAGGCTTGCCGCCTGCCCACCTCTCCTCCCTGCAGCGGCCACACCCTCACCAACCACGCCTTCCCCGCCAGCACCAGCAGCTACATGGCGCCCTGCTTCGAGTGCATGGTGCCAGATGTGGGCCGCTGCTGCCTGCCGCCGCTGCTGCTGACGTGGCTGCTCTGCTGCTGCCTGCTGCTTCTGCTGGCGGCCGCTGTTCGCAGGCCTCAGGCAGCTTTGGCCGGCTGGGATGTGCAAGGGCTGCTTAGGGTGGGCGCCCCCACTGCTGTTTACTCATCGTTGCTGCTGTTTACTCATCATCAGTTATGCCTGGTGCCCTGCAGGATGCTGACCTGGGTGAGGCGCCGCTGCCCAGGGCTGACCCCCTCCCACCACTGCGCTGCTGCTGGCGGCATCTCCTGCAGAGCTGCAGCATGTACTGCTCGGAACCGCATGCGCTGCCCAGCCTCCCTCCTGCCGCCTGCTCGCCCTTCCCGCCCCACACCACGCCGCATGCGTGTGCACACGCAGAGTCACCCCCCCAGCCACACCTGCACACACAGCACGCGGGCGCCCTGCCTGCTCACACACATGCGCCTTTGGCCTGCAGTGGTTGTGGAGCTGACGCTGAACGATCGTGTGATGCACGGCTTTGACAACACCGAGCGGCGCGCGTACGAGCAGCTCATCCGAAAGGCGCTGCGCCTGCCGGGGCCGCCCGCGCTGCTGCTGCTGCACAGGTGCGGGCTGGGGGCCTTGGAGGGGGCGTTCCCCATGCCCCATGCCGCGCCTCCTCCCCTTCCCTGGGTCCCGGTCACCATGATCAGCCGGCTGTGCCCGCGCATCGCTGTGCAGCAGTGCGCCTTGGCCCCAAGGGGAGCTGTTCTGCTGAGCCAGCGCTTCCCAGCCTCCTTTGCTGCCGCCCCCATGTGCTGCCGCCTGCCTGCTGCCGCCGCAGCTATGCGTGGTGGCTGTCGTTTGGGGATGGGCAGACGGAGGGCCTGTTCTACTCTATAACCGAGAACCAGCTGACCACCTTCTCCGCGGTGAGCCTGCTGCCCTGTTATATTACTGCTGGTGGCGCCAGCAGTGCAGGAGCGGCGTGCAGTGGGTGGGCGCATGTGTTGGTGAACGGGCAGAGCGGAGCAGGTGGAGGGAGGGGGGATCTCAGCACGGCAGCGCATGGGCTGCGGTTGCCCTCCCTTGCCCCCATCCCTGGCTCTCTCTCCCGCATGCCTTGGGCACCCCCAGCACTGTTTAGGTCACATGTACCGCGTGGTACTGCCTGTACATCCTGCAGTACTATGATGTACCGGCGCTGTCGGTGCGGGCCGCCACCTGGCGCCTGATGCATGCCGGCATCCGCGGCTTTAATGTGAGCCCCCGACCTACCTACCCCCTGCTTCCCGCAGGCCAGCGGCCCGGTTCTGCATTCCTGCGGCCGCTGCCGCTGCTGCCAGCCCCTGGGCCTGCCTGCAGCGCTGCGCCATTACCTGTCCCGCCTGCTGCTGCTCCTGCTCCTGCTCCTGGGGCCCCAGCCATGGTCCCTGTGCCTGCCCCCCGCGCCTTTTGGCTGACCCATCTGCTGCCGCTGCGACGGCTGGCGCCACCCTGCTGCAGACAAGCCGGGTGGTGCTGCCGGGGCACATTGCGCCCGCCACCGGGCAGGGGGTGCCTACGGCGGGGCCCAAGGCGAAGGGTGCCTACTACTACTTGGACGTGTGAGTGGGTGGGTGGGTGGTGGTGGTGGTGGTGGTGGTAGTGGTGGTGGTGGTGGCAAGGTGTGCGCCACTTGCCCCATACCTGCCCTGCAAATGGCTCAATGCCCGCTGGGTTGGGCCACCCAAGCCTTTCCCGGGCTCCCATTCATTGCTATGCCTGCCCTACCCCTCCTCCACCCTGGCCATTCGTATGAGATTATCATCATGCACACACTCCCACCCCGCCGCACCTACCCTGCGCACACATTACCATGCAGCATCCACCCCTTCAAGGTTGGGTTCACGGTGCTGGCGGAGCTGCTGGTGGCGGCGGTGGCGCGGGGCGTGGAGGAGGCGGCAAGCGGGCGGGCGATGGGCGGGCGGGACGACTCCCGCCTCCAGGGCCTGCCCCCGCCCATGATTCCTCACAGCTCCGAGGAGCACACCACATACTGCGCCATGCAGGTGAGAGCCGCCGGGTGCTGCATGCGCATGGGTGTTCACACGCGCATTGGTGCTGCCGCCAAGGCGGCCAGCATGCGTGTGTGGGGCGCAGTGAGCAGAGCGTATGGCGCCAAGACCGTCCCCTTCCCCTCTCTAGCTTGTCCTGCCTGCCGGCACCCCACCCCCCCGCCAGCCTGCCCGGCCCTGCCCTCCCGCCATTCCCCTCTGCAGGAGGCCTTCAAGAGGGTGGTGGCGGCGCACAGCAGCGGGTTTGCGTACCGGCCAGAGCGCCCGGACGGCAGCAGCTTTGTCGACCAGAAGTGGGGCTGGTCTGCTACCAAGCCAGGTGGGGGTGGGGTGCTGGGTGCGGCGCCACGCTGTGCCCGCTGCGGCCGCCGTGCACCCCGCCTGCTCCCTGCATGCACTGCATGAGCGGGGCCTGCATGGTGCTGACGCCGCCTTCCCCTGGGAGCGCACCCGTGCGCCGCCTTCCCTGGGAAAGAGGCCGGCCGCAGCAGCTGCTGCTGCTGCCACCCGTGCAAGCATGCGGGGGCGTGGTGCTGCGCCCTCCCATGCAGGCGAGTGGGCAGAGCTTGAAATTGACACCCGAGCATCCAGCAGCGGCGGCCTGGCCGCCCGCAAGAGCAGCAGAGGCGGCGAGACGGCGGCGGCAGCGGCCAGCAGCGATAGCGGCGACGGAGCGAAAGGCGGCGGCGGCGCCGCCGGCGAACGAGCGGACGGCGGCAGTGGGCGTGGCCAGCAAGCAGGCGGCGCCGATGGCGGCAGCGGCAGCGGCGATGGCGGCAGCAGCGGTGGCAGCAACGGCATCAGGGGCAGCAGCGACCTGGCCCGCGTGTACCTGGTCCACCTGCGCAGCTACGAGGGCATGGGCCAGGCGCGGGTGGAGTGCATGGCGGGGTGCAGCTGCGAGGCTGGTCAGATGGACAACACCTGGGACATCCGCACCTCCATCTTTGAGGCGCACCGCTTTGAGGTGGGGCGGCGGCGGGCTCGGCGGCGGCGGCGGTGGGAGCGGATGGGCCGAGCGTTGGGAGGCAGCAGGGAGGTGGTGTGTGCAGGTTCACCTGCCTGCCTGCCTGCCTTCCTTCCCCATTAGGAGAGGCAGCTGATGAGAAAACGTGTGTGCCGCCGCCTCCCCGCCGGCAGGTGACGCAACACCGGCGGTGCCGCGTTCGCGTGACCGTCCTGGAGCCCGCCGGCAACGCCACGGATGCATCCTCTAAGCAGCAGAAGGTGGTCCTGTCGGCGGCGCTGGTGGCGCACCCGGACGCCACGCCCCTGCCGCAATAGCACGCCCCACTCTGGCTGACGCATTTATGACCTTTACACACTGCTGCACTCCCTAAGCACTCTCCGTACCTGTCCGTACCTGATCAATGTATGAGGCGGCCTTGCTGCAAACACTGTACAGACGGATGAGCAGTCGATGTCAGGATTCGAAAGGGGCGGTTGCACGCAGGGCCGCCGGTGGCACAGAGGCGCTGCCGCCCACAGAAGCAGCGCTCGTGCTGGGAACACTCGGAGTGGAGATTCCTGTCCACCTCCTCATGTACTGAGCACAGGCCTTTGCCGCCGCCTCCCCACTGCGACGGCTGGCTCCGCCGCCACCTCACCCCACCGCCAAGTCAAGCGCATGCTTCCGATCAGCCTGCGGCTGTTTCTGATCAAGTGCTCGGTACCAGCGCCCCATCACCCGCCACCAAGAGAAGCAGTATGAGTGAGTTTGTGTTTGCGAACGTGAAGGGCGAGACTCTCGTCAAGGCGCCCGGGAGCATCAATGGGTGAGCGGGATGGAGCGGGCCAGGGTCCGGGTGGGCCGATCGAGGGGCGATCGCGACGCGCTGCGAACTGTCGGCGGAACTGTCGGTGGGGGCAGCAGCGCTGCAGCGGCACCAAGTGGCACCCGCGATCGGCCGATCGCGACAATCGCGGCGGGAGCGGCAGCTGTGCAGGGTGTGGCCGGGCGGTGGAGGGGGATGGCGGCGGTGGGTTGGCGGCGGCCGCTGAACCGCCCGCTGGTCGCAAAGCAGGCGCCATGATGCGCTGCTCTGTTGGTTTGCTGCAGGGAGAGCTTTGCCATCAAGAACCTGGAAGAGTGCAGGCAGGCAGCGGCTGCGCTGCACTGCCGACTGCCGCAGCGCCAGGCCCGCGCTGCTCGTGCCGCCGCCGCCCCGTTGTCTGGCGTGCGCGCCCCTAGCCGCTCCCGTTGCTGCCTCGTCTCCATCCGCCCCCGGCCTGCGCCGTAGCGCCCCCGCGCCATCACTGCTTACCCATCGCCCACGCACCGCTTCCTTCCTTGCCTCCCTATCTGCACACACACCTGGTCTCCTCCTCCATGCACTCCACCACCACCAATGCAATTCGCAACGCCTCCCCTGCTTTCCACCCCACCCCGCTTGTCCTGCAGCGTCTTCCTGCTGGACCACTCGAGCGAGGTGGAGGTGACCAACTGCACCAACTGCCAGATCTTCGTGGGTGAGGCAGGGGGCGGGGTGGGGCCGGCGGGCGGGACGGCGCAAGGGCGGTTGTGTGTGGGTGGGTGTGTGGTGACGGTGGTGGCGGCAGAGCATGTGGGCTTGGCTGTGTGGTGGTGAGCCGGGCAGAGGCAGGGCACGCGGAGGACAGCCACCCAGCGGGGTGCCGCACGCGCTGGGGTGCCACCTTCCACACCTCACACTCCCATCACCCTGGTTCATCCACACACATCTGGTTTATCCCCTGCTACCCCTGCAGGCCCCGTGGACGGCCCCGCCATCTTCCAGGGCTGCACCAACTGCCAGGTGGCGGTGGCCTGCAACCACTTCAAGGCAGACGCCTGCTCCAACTGCGAGTTTGGTGAGCCTTGGGTGAAGGGTTGGAGGGCTGCCAGCATCTGGGCTGGTTGCGGGAGCCAGGTGGAGCAAGCAGGGCTAGCATGAGTGCATCGAGCGGCGTGGCTGGGGCGTGCAGGCTGGGTGGGGCGGCGCTGCAGCAGCAGGTTGGCTGGCTGGCGTGCAGCAGCCGTCAGCCACCGCCGTCGCACCATAATCACACTATACACAGCGAGCAAGTCAGATTCCACCAAATGCTGGCCCACACCGACAGCAGCGCCACCACCGCCAGCAACAGCACCCCTCTCCCGCACCCCACCCCACCCACGCATGACCCCCGCCAGGCCTCTACTCCTCCACCCAGCCCGCCATCGCCGCCTGCACCGGCATCCGCATCGCTTGCTGGGCGGGCGCCTACCCGCAGCTGACCCGCCACTTTGGCGACGCAAGCCTGGACCCCGCAGCCAACCAGTGGAGCAAGGTGAGAGCAGCGTGTGTGTCTGTCTGTCTGTCTGTCTGTCTGTCTGTCTGTCTGTCTGTCTGTGTATGGTGTGTGTGTGTATGGTGCGAGAGAGTTTGTGTGTGCATGTGTACAAATGTGTGCACGTACAAATGTGTGTGTGTGTGTGTGTGTGTGTGGTGGGGGCAGGGCAGAGAACAAGGGAGCAACAAGGGGAGGAGGGCACGGGCAGGGCATACGCCGAGCAGGGTGGCCAGGTGCTGCTGCTACTGCAACCGCTTCTGCTGCTGGGGGCACGGGGAAGCAAGATATAATATGTTGCTTCCAGAGCAAGTGCTTGCACGGATCAGTACCTGATGCATTAACAGTACCGCCGCATGTGCCGCAGGTGTACGATGGCAGTGCCGAGGAGGGCGCCGCGCCCAACTTTGAGCTGGTGATTGAGCCGAGTGAGCAGGGGGCGCCTGGGAGCTGGCTGGCTTGCCACTTGCTAGCGTGCTGCTGTGTGCATGCACACACACACTCACACACACGCACACGCACACACACACGCACGCACACACGCCCCTGCCTGGCCCTCTGCCGTGCAGCGCCCTACTGGGAGGTGCCGCTGGACAACTTTGGGCCTCCTGAGAACCCGGTGCCCGGCCCAGACGGCAGCATGTATCAGGTGGGGGGGAGGAGGGAGGAGGAGGGAGGGAGGGAGGGAGGGTGGTGCCCAGCAGAAGAGCGGCGGGAGAGAGCAGCGCACCGTGGGTGGCACTCTCACATCGTGCTCCCTGCCCGCGCACCCGCCACCTGCCCCGCCCCCACCCCCGCCACCCTTCCCTCCCTCCTCGTCGATTCCGTGCCGCAGCCCGCCGCAGCGGCGCCCGCTCCCGTGCTCGCCGCCGACGGGGCTGGGCTCGAGGCTGGCGGCGCGCTGGGCGAGGCGGCGGCGCCAGGCGAGAACGGCGCATTCGAGGGCGCTACGCCGCCAGCTGGCGCCGCCATCCCCGACGACTTTTTCGGCGCGGGAGACGGGGTGCGGAAGGGGCTGCTGCCGGCTGGCTGCTGCCGCCTGCTGCCATGCATGCCCCCTGGTTTCCCGGCAGCTACCGTGTGACCTGGCCTCCGGGAAGACACTGATGGCGAGCGCATGCTTGCATTCTTGCATGCGCCGACCCATCACCTCCTGAGCCCACCCCCCACCCCCCACCCCCACACACACCTGCACACCTGCCCCTCCCCTCTGCGCAGCACGTGCCCAGCGAGCAGGCCGAGACGGTGGCGAGCGGCTTGCTGGAGCCTGCGGCGGCGGGGGGGGACCATCCTGCGGTGGCCGCCGCCAAGCAGCGCCTGCAGCAGCGTATGAAGGACCAGGCGGCGTGAGCGGCCTGCTGTGCCGCGCTGTATGCTGTGCCGCGCTGTGTTCTGTGCTGCATGGTGCAGGGGCGGGTCGCGTGGCGGTCGCCTGCCGGCCGCTGAGTGCAGCGTGTGCTCCCAGGCGATGCTGCACACTGGTGGTGCAGAGGCGGCAGGGGGTGGGGCGAGGCTCAGGGCGCGCCCGCCATCCCTCTGGCTGCCCGCGGGTGTGCAGGAAAGAAGCCGAGCAGAAGCAGGGCATCCAGGCGACGGCCGCCAAGTACCTGGAGCAGTTTTATAAGGTACGGTGGTACCGCAAGTGGTACTGCAGGTGGCACCGCAGGTGGCACTGCAGGGTGCCGCTCAGCAGCCGCTGCGGCGGCTTGCATGCGGCGTGCCGCATGGCCTGCCTGCCTGGAGCAGCCAGCCCCAAGCCGTCCAGCGCGCACCACAGCCTCAGCCTGCTGCCACTGCTTCCCTCCACGCCTGCGCCCATGCCTGCCCCCGCAGAAGCGGGACAGCAGCAAGGAGGAGCGCATCCGGCTGGGGCGGGAGGCGCTGGAGGGCAAGGGTGGGTTGGCTGGGCTGGGCATGAGGCAGGTGGTGGTGGCAGTGGCGATGGGCATTTTCCACACGGAGAATGTTGGGGGGGAGGGTGGCAGAGCTCTGGGAATGCTGAGGGGCGCCGCCAGCTTGCCCCGCTGCCACCGCCCCGCACGCATGCCGCACCGCACACGCGCCGTCCCTGCCGCTGCGGCCACTTGCCCGCCTGCCCCCGGGCTGCCGTCCCCGCCGCCGCCCTGCAGGCAACGGCGAGCTGGGCCCCAACGGCGCCACCGAGCCCGAGCGCATCCTGTCAATGATAGACTTCAACCTGACCCGCCCCCACGGCGCGGGTGAGAAGAAAACATTTTGTATTTTATAAAGCTCATGAAAGCTCACGAGCTTGCGGGGCCGTTGATTGTTGATGGTTTGATGAAATTTCTGCTCCACTGCATGGGTTAGCGCGGCCGGCTGGGTGTGCTGCATCGTGCGGCTGGTCAGAGCCCTGCCCTGGCCCACACCCAGCCTTGCCGTACTCATCATGCCGCCCCGCCCTGCCTGCCTGCTCCGCAGACCTGTCTCGATTCAAGAGCGTGCTGTTCACGTGCAAAGCCAAGGGCACGCTGCCGGCGGCGGCGGTCTGAGAGCGCTGCTGGCAGGCCGGCAGGCGGCGCTGCATGCCCGGGGAGCGGCGCTTGAGCGGGGCTACAGCCAGCAGGGTACACGCCAGACGGCCCTGCGATCCTTGCCCCAATGCGCCCCCTTCAAACCGCCTGCAGCGGGCCGCGCTGGTGTTGAGATTTGAGAGCCAGCCCGTCGTCCCACACACACAACCACAACCATGCCGAGAGAGTGCCTCCCCACCACACCACCAACACACACGCGCGACACACTCCAGTTGCTCCATGCACCCACGCTTTTGGCTGCCACGTGCTTTTGGCTGTTCTTCTCCTCCTCCTTCCCCGCAAGCAATTGGTACCAAGTGTAACAGTTGAGCGAAAGCCAGCGGCAGGGTCAGTGGATGCGGTCAGTCAGAAGCAGGGAAAGGGAGCCAGCAGAGGGAGCGGGAAAGGCACGGACAGCGAAGCCCGGGAGCCTGGCTGCCTTGCCGGGGGCGGCGAGCGCCGCGCGCCCCGGCAGGCGCACGCGGGCCGCGGGCATGGCGGCGGCGGCAGGCTGTCATGGGTTCGGGTCGAACCGCCACTGCGGGTTGAACCGCCCCGACATGCCGCTGCCGTCTGCAAACCGCAGGATGGGGTACAGCTCCGTTGTGAGCTTCTGGCCCCTGGCCAGCAGTCCCGCCCGCAGCTTGGACGTCAAGAAGGCTGCAACCACAGGCGGGGCCGGGGGGGAAGGGGGGTGGGCGGCAGCGGGATGGGGTTGGCAGAACGCCGGCATGCAGAGCCTGGGATGCACGGCGCGGCGCGTGCAGCCTGATCAGGCAGGTAGGGTGCAGGCAGGGTGCCGGCAGGGCAGGGTGGCGGGCTGCCGGGCCGCGCACACCGCATGCATCAGCGTGCGGGGCTCGGCGGCGGCGGCGGGACTGCGGGGGCCGCCCCACTCACTGTTGCTGTAGCCGCCCGTGGTCCTGGCTAGTACCGTGTTGAGCGGTAGCGCCAGCGTCACCACATAGTTGGTGGTACCGTTGCGGTACGCCAGGCCCAGCCTGGTGGCGCTGCCCAGGTTGTCTGCAACGCGACGCGGTGGGGGGAAGGAAGGGACGCGAGCCAGTCGGCATACCAGGGCGCGGGGTGACCCGAAGGGGGGAGCTCCGCAGTCCACGGCAGGCCACGACGCCGCGCCCACGGCTGTCCTGCCCAGTGCACGCCGCCGCCGGGGTAGGCACATCGGGCGGTCCACGGTCGCTGCCCTAAACCCTGAACCCCAGCGGGCGCAGCAGCGGCAGCCGGCAGCGGCGGCCGCCCACCGGTGATCCAGGTTTTGTAGGTGTTGGTTCCGTTTGCCAGCCTGGTGATGCTCATACGGAAGCGGTCGTCGACGGTCGCAAAGGAAGGCCACCTCAGCTCGAACTGGGGCGTCACCCCAAAGATGAAGGGCCTGCCGCCGGCCACAAAGCCCCGGTAAATGCTGGTCGTCGAGGCGAGCAGCTCGTAGCCCTTGCTGACGCCCTCGGGGAAGCGGCCGGCCAGGGCGCCCCGAGCGGTGAACAAGACAAACACCCTGCGGCCGGGGTGGGGGTGGGCGGGGGGGGTGGCAGGGGTGGGCGGGGGGGCCCTCAGCGCGCACGGCGCTCAACGTTGGGCGCACGGCCAGCCACAAGGGTCGCGGCAGCCGGACACACGAACACGCGGGGACGGCGGCGGCGAGCGCCGGCGCCTGCTCACAGCTTGTAGGTTTCGTTGAACAGCGGGGTAACCGCGGGGAAGCCCTCCTCTGCGATGACGTCGCCGATCTCTTTGTACGAGATGGCTGCAGGGGAGGCGCACGGCAGCGGCAGGCCTCGGGCCGATGAGGCAGGCGGGCTGGTGGCAGGACGAGGCGGGCTGGCAGCAGCCTGAGGCCGCACGAGGCGCCGCCACGCGTGCAGAGGTGGTGGGCGGGGCCGGTCGGCCCTGCCGGGGGCAGCGTAGCTCGCGGCGCGCGGCGCGCGACGCAGCAGGCAAAGCAGGCGCGGCAGGCGCAGCAGGCAAATCAGGCAACTCACGCAGGATGTCGTCCCCGGTGAAGGATGTGAGGAGGGTGAGGAGCTGGATGAAGCGGGTGGGAGACTTGTAGTACAGGTTGAGCGAGGTGGGGCCCAAGCCCAGCGCCGCTGCAGGCACAACGGCGGGACATGGCGGATGCAGGTATAAGCAGGCTTTGGCGTAGCGGCTGCGGCGGCACGCGTGTCGGCCCGGCCCGGCCCGGCGCGGCGCGCCACGGGCGCGGCTCGGCCCCGGGGCAGCTGGGCTGGGCTGGCTGGCTGGCTGGGCCCTCACCCTTGTCCAGCACAACTTCCGCCAGAAACTTTTCGTTGCCGTTGTATGTGAAAATGACATGGGCGACGCCCTTGGCGGCCTGCATTCCAAGAAAAAAAACCATGAGGCCCAAGCACGGCGGGCCCAGGCCGAGAAAAAGGAAGGCACCAGGTGCACGCGGCAACCGGTGTGCAGCCACGGCGCTGGGGCGCCGCGGCTGTGGGCCGGGCGCGGCCGGTGCGCGCAGGCGGGCGGGGTGGCTGGCCCGGCCGATCTTCTGGTGCTGCCCGTGCCCCCGCCTCCCCATCCGTGCCAGCCCCTGCCTGCGCTGCTCACCGCGGTAACCCCGATGCTGTTGGGCGCTTTCGCGCCTGTCAGCTCCGCCACCCAGGCTGTGTTGAACTTCGGAAATGTGAGAGCATTCTGCAGGCGGGGCAGGCGGCAGGGAGGTCAGGGCTGCAGCTGGGGCCGGCAGGGTGAGGCGGGCTGGCGCAAGGCTGGCGGTGGTGGCGCCACCGGCACCGCTGCCTCTAGTTCCCCCCTGGCAGCAGTGCGCCCACGTTGGACGGCGGTGCTGCTCCCCCGACCACGATCCAGCACTCACCGTCCCGCTCAGGGCGGCCAGGCACACGAGGAGGGCCGCGGCCCGAGCCATGGGGTGCCCGAGCATGTGGAGGTGTTTGGTGGTCAAGGGCTACAACCCTGCTCGCAAAATGGTATGCATAAATCGAGGCTTGCAAAAGTGCGCAAACCATGGCGCTGGGGCTTGAAGTTCTGCCAGCTCACGGGACAGCCCGCGTGCCCACCTCACCAGAGCCTGCATGAGAGGTAGCGCGCGCTGCCCTTTACAAAGTGAGGCATCACGGCGGCTGCAGGCAGTGGTGCTTGCCTGCGGGCAGGCGCCCCCCCCGTACTAGTAGCCTTGCGCCGCCCGCTGCCACTTTACGCCTGACGCCAAGTGTTCCAGTGTTACACTGCTGCACTACACGGCTTCGCTCGTCAAAACTGGGACCTCCAGGCCTGTGTGGCACATTGTCCCCGAACACAGGCAGGGCAGGGGCCTTGCGAGGCGGCCACGCGCCGCCCCCGCCGCTGCCCGCTCCCGCAGCCACAAGGGAGGGCTGGCTGCCCGCGGGTGCCGCCGCGCTCAGGCGGCCTCCCCCAGACACTCCATGGCCAGAGCCTTCTCCTCCACCAGCTCATCCCCTGTGGCCTTCATCTTGGCGGCAGAGGGTTCGTCGATCGACAGGCCCTGCGCCACAGGTGTTCGCCGCCGGGGCACGAGGGCCAGCAGTATGGTGCGTGAGCATGGTGTGCAGGGGCCAGCAGTATGGTGCGTGAGCATGGTGTGCAGGGGCCAGCAGTATGGTGCGTGAGCATGGTGTGCAGGGGCCAGCAGTATGGTGCGTGAGCATGGTGTGCAGGGGCCAACAGTATGGCGCGTGAGCATGGTGTGCAGGGGCCAACAGTATGGCGCGTGAGCATGGTGTGCAGGGGCCAGCAGTATGGCGCGTGAGCATGGTGTGCAGGGGCCAACAGTATGGCGCGTGAGCATGGTGTGCAGGGGCCAGCAGTATGGCGCGTGAGCATGGTGTGCAGGGGCCAACAGTATGGCGCGTGAGCATGGTGTGCAGGGGCCAGCAGTATGGCGCGTGAGCATGGTGTGCAGGGGGTGTGCGAGGAGAGGCCAGGAGGGGCTCCCTGCCGCCAGTGCGGCCCCTCCATTCCGCCCGAGCCACAGAGCTGCTGCAGGAGCGGGTTTGGGGCCGGCGCGGCGCGGCGCGGCTTCCCGCCGCGGCGGTGCCCTCATGCCGCCGCAGCAGGCGGCTACGGGCCTGCCACCACCCCCAGCACACACACACACAAACACACACACATAGCCACGCTGCGCACCTGCACGATGGACCAGGTGCCCGCCTTGCAGGTGACGGGGAAGGAGTAGACGACGCCCTTGGGGGCGCCGTAGCTTCCGTCGGAGTAGACGCCCATGGACACCCAGGTGCCCTCTGCGGGGCGGGGGGCAGGAGAAAGGGGCAGGGCAGGCAGGGGTGAGGGGGTGGGAGGTGCCCATGCGCGGGTGGTGGGGCCAGGGCAAGGGGCAGGTGAGACAGAGCAGGGGCAGGGGTGAGGAGGTGGGAGGTGTCGACGCGTGGGTGGTGGGGCGAGGGAGACGGGGCGAGGGCAGCTGAAAAAAACGGCGAGCCATCCACCGTGTGAGGGTGAGGAGCGGGAAGGCAGCGAGGCAGGCTGGGCAGGGAGGGAGGGCCGCCAGCACACACACCCACACACACCTGGCGTGCCCAGCACCCAGTCGCGGATGTGGTCGCAGGCGGAGGAGGCGGCGGACAGGGCCGAGCTCAGGCCGCGGGCCTGCAGCGCAAGCACAGGTGGGCAGGGGGCACGCGGCGTGGGGGCATGGGGTGTGCGCGGGAGTGGGGGAGGAGACCATCAGGCCGGTGCAGCGTTCAGCCCGCACTCCCGCGGGCTACCGGCTGTCGCATGCCGTGCCGATGCCAGCGCCAAGGCGGGCCGTGCCGCCCCAGAGACCCTCCTAAGCCTGACAAGCCCTCGTAGGCCTGCCAAACCACAGGCACAACAAAACCACAACCCAGCTCTGGCTGGCAGCTACAACGCTAAACTGAAACGGCAGCTACATAAGTGCAATAATTGAACCCACCTTGATGATGGCCGCACCCCGCTGCTGCACCGTGGAGATGAAGTCTCCGTCCAGGTAGGCGTCGTCGCCGATGACCTGGCGCCAGGCGGGCGGGGGTGGAAAGAAAGGAAAATGAAAGAGAGCGGGTGGGCAACACGTCACACGTGCCAAGGCAACCAACACCGCGGTGCGGGGCAAGCAGCGAGCAGGGGCAGGGGTGGCCGCGGCTGGGGGAGATCCCTGGGCGCCAGCAGGCGGCCGCTGCCATGGCGCAAGGGCGGCTCACCTCGCGGGCGGGCTTGCCGTCGATGGTGGCATGGTTCACGTCGGGGTACTGCAGCGGGACGGCAGTACCGCAGCTTTAAGCTGCTGGTTAAGGCAGCGAGGGCCACCCCCTGCCGGCTTCAAAGCCCGAGGCACCGCCGCACAATGCAGCCGCCGCCAAAGCAGCCGTCAAGCCGGCCACCACCCCAGCCGCCCCTGAGTGCCGCTCCCCAGGATGCTATGCTATGTGTGCCTCTGCACCAAGGCCCCGCCCATGCCCCTCACCTGCGTGGAGGAGTGGTTGCCCCAGATGATTACGTTCTTGACCTTGCCCACGTGCACCCCGCTGCGCTCGCTGAGCTGCAGGGGCGGCAGGCAGGTTGGCAGGATGGGGCAGGGTGGGGGAGGGGAAGCAGCAGGATTGGGCAGGGACAATGACAGAGGGGAGGCAGCAGGATGCGGCAGGGACCGTGAGGGAGGGGAGGCAGCAGGATGGAGCAAGGAGGAGGGGCAGGGGCCACGTGGGGTGCAGGTGTAGCGTAGCCTGCCACGGCCCGGCCTGCCACGGCGCCTCCCATTGGGTGCGGCCGGCAGGGCGTGCGCCGGGTGCAGGTGCGGCACCGGGCGGCGCCTCTTGGGCGCCGAGTGCTGCTCTGCCCAGCCCGCTGCTCAGCCGCACCTGGCCCAGGGCGCGGTTGTGGTCCAGGCGGGTGAGGCAGGTGATGTTCTCTGCAGGGAGCGCAGGCAGGGAGGCAGAGGAGGGCAGGTGGGCCGGGTTGGGGCAGGGCACGGTCAGCTGTGAGGGCAGCTGCTGCTGGCCATTCCCCATCCATGAGCCCTGCCTCGCCCCAACCCCGCTGCCACCTGCACCGAACTGTCGCCACCTGCACCCCGCTGCTGCCCACCCACCGGCGGGGATGGAGGGCGCGTGCTCCTTGAGGATGAGGGAGTTGGTGTTGGCGGGGTTGGCCACAACCAGCACCTGCAGGGGGGCAGCACGCAGGCGGGCACGGCTGGGCAGGGAGCGTGCAGCGGGTTTTGTGGCGCAGCGGGTTTGCGCGCGCCGCTGCAGCTGCTGCAGCCCAGAACCCGACCCAGCCCACGCCGCGGGGATCAAGAGGGAGGGAGCGGGTCGCAGCCAGGTAGCGCGGGCGTTTGTGGCGCTGCAGCGCTGTGCGGCACAACCTGTTTGTCCTCCGTTCCCCTGCCGCCCACACACCTTGCACCCGGGCGCCGCGTTCTTCTCCAGAGCGCTGGCCTGTGCCTTATAGATGGCCACATTCTTGCTCATCACGTCCTTGCGCTCCATGCCCGCCTACGGGCGAGCGGCGGGCGAGGGTCGGAGGGAGGAAGGAGGAGAGGCGGAAGGAGGGCGCGGGTCGGAGGCACGCAGGCTGGCAGGGAGGGTGGTGCAGCCGGCAGGGCGCTGCACACCAGCGGCTATTCCCCCACCACGCACACACACACACACACACACACACACACGGCACATCACATCACATCACAGCACAGCACAGCCAAGGCCAGCCCAGCCCAAGCGAGGGGAGGTCGCGGCCGGCGGGCCCCACCTTGCGAGGGAAGCCCCCCACCATGACCGCCACGTCCACGCCCTTGCACGCCTCCTCCGCGTCCGTGCTGGCCACCACACCCATGAGCAGCGGGTAGGCGGCGTCCACCAGCTCCATGCGCACGCCCTCCAGCGCCTGCAGGGGGGGTGGAGCATGGCATGCGAGGGTGTCTGTGGGTGTGTGGGTGTGGGTGTGTGGTGGTGGTGGGCCTCCTGGGAGGGGCGAGGAGGCGGAGGAGCGGCGGAGGTGCTGTGCTCAACGCATTGGCGCGCTCTGCTGCGAGGGTTGCAGGCTGTTTGTCCACTTTATCGAGCCAGGGCAAGGCACCAAGGACGACCCAGCAAGCGTGTCCCCTGTCATCCGCTGCCCCACTGCCTCAGGGCTGCGCGCACGTGCCTGCTTGGCGGGCTCGATGTCCAGCATGTGCAGGATGACGGGCTGGTCGGGGCCCAGCATAGCCCCCCGGGCAATCATGGGGCAGATGGCATAGCCGATCTGGCCTGCAGGCGTGCACGGGAGGGCGGGCGGGGATAAGGTGGGTGGCTGGAACCGCCGTCACAGCGGCGGGCTGCCTGAGGCGGCGGGGCACTATCACCGCCTGCGGCGAACTGCAGGCGGGGCCTGCGCCGACACCGGGGCTCCATCGCGGGGCCCGGGGGCGGGGAGTCGGGCCTGGCGGCGCAGATCACCCGGAAGAGTCATGCAGCCCCTCTGACCCTAGCTCATTCCTTTTCCCTGCCCGTCATGCGGCGCTGCCATGCCTCGCCTGCGGCGCCGGTGACCAGAATGCGCTTTGGCTCGGGCGCCATGGCTGACTGGTAGGTGGCGGTGGGCGATCGGCGAGCGTGGGGGGCTGGGGGCCTGGCCAGGGATGCGATCAAAGTCACAGAGGGCCGATGGGGGAAAGAGGACCCTGTTTCATGCCAGCTATGCCAGCTCATCCGAAGGGTGTCTTCTCAACTCGTCCCCTGAGCGCAGGGCTCATTTCCTGACACCCTGCAGCGTGTAGGCTGTCAATCCTGCATGCATGTAGCTCCCTTCCGGCTCCCAATCAACCGCACCGCTCTTTGCTAGGGCTGTCTGGTCCCGGCCGCCTGGTTGCCAACCCCAATTGGGCCTCTGCTAGGCCTCCTCAAAGAATGATGGGAGGCTCCCGCCGCCCCTGGCACCGCGCCCAGGCCGCCGCCCGCTCCGCCTGGCAGCAGCTGACCCTGGCCGAGGCCAGCGGCGCCATGGGCGACCTCGGCACCCTGCTGCCGCTCCTGGTGAGGCGGGGCTCAAGCCTGGCGCTGACGGCGCCAGGCACCAGGTTCCATCGCAGTGGGCGGTGGCAGGGTGCCAGCGGTGCCTGCCCTCCTCGGAAAAACACCGCACCTGCACCCCGCCTCCTCCCCTCCTCCCCACAGGTGGGGCTGGTCAAGGATGCTGGCCTCGACCTAGGCACCACCCTCATCTTCACAGGCCAGCCACTGCCGCTTGCAAACAGTAACTGCACCCCTCTCGCCCGCCGCGCGCCCTCTTCCAACCTCCATGCCTCGCTGCGACCGGCTGCGCCGCCGCCCCGCCTGCCCTGCAGGTCTGTACAATGTTGCCACGGGCATCGCCTTTGGCATCCCCATGCCCGTGCAGCCCATGAAGACGATAGCGGCTGTGGCCCTGAGCCAGTCCCCGCTGACCGTGCCGCAGGTGAGCCTGCCTCCTGCGCCGCGGCTGGCCTGTTCTTCCCCACGCTCCGTGCCCTGCTGCTGCCTTCCTGCCGGCCTCCCGCTTGCCGCTCCCCTGCATGAGGAATTCCTGCGACTGCCAGCCTGCCTGCCTGCCCCACCCCGCAGATCATGGCTGCCGGCATCTTTGTCAGCGGCTGCGTGCTGGTGCTGGGCGCCACCCGCATGTTTGGCCTGGTCAACAGGTGAGCCCGGGCTGGGCGCAGCGAGTTCACTGATGCTGCAGCGAGATCAATAGAGCGACTAGATTGAGTCACATCAGCCAGTCTCTGCTTCTTTGCTGGCATTGTACTGAGTGTGAATTGCAGCGACCGTGCCCTGCAGGCTCATCCCCAGGGCTGTGATCCACGGCATGCAGCTGGGCCTGGGGCTGGAGCTGGCCAAGAAGGTGGGCGTGGTGGTCGGGGCTGCATGGTGGCTTGGGGGTTTGCTCCAATGCTGTGCTCCCATCCTGTGCTTCATGTTGACTGGGCCTGGTGGGCGGGGCCGGGTGGTGCGTTGGGGTCTTGCTCCAATGCTGTGCTCCCATCCTGTGCTGCCATGCTGTGTTGTACTGGGCTGGGCTGGCCTGGCTGGGCCTGGCCTGGCTGCTGCTTGCAAGCCACACACACCTGGCTGCCATCCTCCCTGGTTGTGCAGGGCTGGCAGCTGGTGTGGTATGCCAATGGCAAGGCCCCGCCTGCGCGGCAGTGGTGGGGGCCTGAAGGCCTTTTCCTGGGCCTCTCTGCCCTCATCTTCACTCTGCTCACCATCTATCCACGGGAGCAGCAGGTGCAGCCGCAGGCGCAGCAGGTGCAGGAGGGGAGCGGCGAGGAGCAGGCAGCATCTGGTGGGGACCACACAGCATGTGTGGAGCAGCACGTAAGGGATGGGTGCCTGCCCTTGGCAGCCAGGCCTGGCGGGCAGGCAGCAGAAGCTGGTGATGCCGGAGGCAGCAGCGGCTACGGCGATGCCGTTCTGCGGTGTGATGACAGCGCTGAGCTGGCAGGCAAGGCCGGCTTCGATCTGCACGGCACCTGGGCTGGGGACGGCAGCGGAGGGAGGGACGAGGCTGGAGACGCCGGGCTCTGCCACGCGATGCTTGCCTTGCAGCGTCGGTTGGAGAGCGTGGGCAGCCGTGTGGAGCATGGGCTGGGCGACAGCGCCGGCGCAGGCGCCGGCGGCATCGCCTGCGGCACCGGGCGGCGCGGCGGCGCCTCCCGCGTGCCTGCAGCCCTGCTGCTGGTGGTCCTGGGCATCCTGCTCACCCTAGCCTACCACCCAGAGTGAGCAGCAGCCTGTGTGTACACCCTGGCGATCGCTTTTGGCGCTGCCGGCGCCAGCACTGGCCTAGCGCTGCAGCGGCTAGCTTGCCGGGGCGCCCATCAGTGGCGCGATTGTTAAAGGCCTGGCCAGCGCATGTGCAGGGTGGTGGGGGTGCTGCGCCTGGGGCCCAGCTCCGTGCAAGCCCTGGTGCCCTCGGGAGAGGACTGGAAGATTGGTGGGTGACCCCGCCAGACCTGCCTGCACCCTGCTTGCACCACGTCCCCAGCACTGTCCCTTGCCGTCTCCGCTCGCCTTCACCGCTACCCATCCATCCAGTCCCCGCCTCCACCCCTAGCCCCGCCTCCCCGCCCGCAGGCATCCTGCAGGCGGGCCTGCCCCAGCTGGCGCTGACGGGGCTGAACAGCGTGGTGGGCGTGTGCCAGCTGGCGGGGCAGCTCTTCCCGGACCGCCCCGCCTCGCCAGACAGAGGTGCTGCCTCCTTTCCTCCTGTGAAGCCCCAGACCTGAGACCACCTCCGTCCCCATCCACTGCCCCGCGTGCATGCTGATAGAGCTCCTCCCGCCTGCCCTCCCTGTCCCGGCCTGCAGTGGCCTTCAGCGTGGGGGCCATGAACCTGGTGGGGTGCTGGTTTGGCGCCATGCCCTGCTGCCACGGCGCGGGCGGCCTGGCTGCGCAGGTGGGCGCAGCGCGGCGCTGCGGTGGCGCGGCGCTGCGGCAGGCGGCAGCCGGGCTGGGCTGCAGCCATGCTGCCTGCGGCTGTGGCTGTTGGCAGGCGTGCCTGCTTGCGTGGCAGAACACCGGTGCTGCTGCCTCTGCTCAAGTTTCCGCCGCCGCCCATGCCGGTGCTCCCTCAGCGGCGTGCAGGCCCGGTTTGGCGCCACCACCGGCGCCGCCCCCGCCTTCCTGGGCCTGTGCAAGCTGGTCCTGGGCCTGCTGTTTGGCAGCTCGCTGCTTGCCCTGCTGCAAGCCTTCCCCTCGCCGCTGCTGGGTGAGCGCCGGGCCTGCCCGGCGGCGAGTGCGGCGCGGCAAGTGACTGCTCGTGCGGGCACGCGTTCCCTGCTCCTGCCCTCCCTGCCCTCCCAGGCCTCTGCCCATGCTCACCGCCTGCCCCTGCCACCACCCCTGCAGGCGCCATGCTGACTTTTGCGGGCCTGGAGCTGGCTGCCTGCGCGTGGGGGCAGCGCGGCGAGCGCGGCGCCGCCGTGCTGCTGCTCACCGCCGCCGTCACCCTTGCCGCCACCAATGTGGGGGTGGGCGTGCTGGCAGGTGTGTGTGTGGCAGTGGTTCGGCTCCTGTGAGGGGGCTTGCATCCTCATGTTGCTGCTGCGCCTGTCAAGAGGGACTGGCTTGCTCTGTTCTCATCAATTGTGTTTGGCGGTCAGCATGCTGTGTGCAAAGCTGCCACAGGCCCCTGCACGCCGCCCTCCCTTGCTGCCTCGTGATTCTGTGCAGGCCTGGCAGCCGCCTACCTGCTTCTGGCAAGCGACAGCTGCTGGAGCGAGGAGGGCGGGCCTGGCGGGCGGCCGCGGGCGGCGGCAGCCTCGTGTAGCGGCAGCCCTGCGGCGCTGAGCAGGCGCGAGGCACGCCTGGCAACAGGAACATTCTACTAAATCCAGGCCTTGCAGCAGCTCCCCAAACCCCTCCCTCCCCTCAGCATAGCACTGTACTACTTGCCTCTTGTCCCCACCCGGCGTGACAGCCCGCCGCTTAGTTGTCCCCGTCCTGGCGCGAGGCAGGCGTTTGCACAGCCGCCGGCAGCTGCCCTGCCGATCTGGTGGGCGCACTCGCCGCTAAACGTAGCCGAGCCTGCATCCTTCGTTCTGCTCTTCCCAGGAACCTGGTTGTAGCTGCTCCACCGCACAGCCTGGCTCCTTGCACTGGGGCACTGGGCACTGGGCGGCCAAAGGTGGGATGGGTTAGCGCTCACCGCCCCGACGGCAGGCGGCAGCGCACATTGCGGTGTCATTTGGGTTGGGTGGATGCCGCACCGGGTGCTCCTCGCTTGTGAATTCTGCGCTGCCCGCCACCCTACATCAAAGGGCAGACGGCTTGCTAGGACGCCAGGGGTGGCATTCCCAACATGTACAGGAAGGATGGGCTCATAGAGTTGTGTGCAGCGACCCACAAGCCCGGTTACTTTCCTGAGCGTCGTGGACGGCTTGGTTCTCATTTATTAAGCAGCTTCTCCTTTCCCACCAACGCAGCATGGCTCAGCACGAATATAGATGCTCGATTTCTGACTCGAATGGCTCCGCCCGCCACACTCTAGCTGTCATAACGTGCCAGAGGCTTGATCAGCACAGCCCGTAGCTGCTCTGGGCTCACAGCTTCAGCTTGGTGTACCACGTACACGGTCACGTCGTCAAGCAGCTGGACGGCGGCCTGGAACTCCCCTGTCAGAAGGGTCAGAGGCCCCGTGGGGGGCAGCAGGCAAACCCCATGGCGCGGCAGCGCCATCTGGAGCTGTGGCAGGTCCTAGCAGCTCTTGCATGTCTGGCAGTGGCGCTAGCCTGCGCCGGTGTCACCTTTGGCACGGGCAGGACGACCATTGAAGGGTACACCACCGGCGACGGTAAGCAGGCTGCGTCTCCCCTAATACCCCCTTCAACGCAGGGTAACCCTTGCAGGTGCTCCCGCCCTTGCTTGCAGGCATTTACCACCCTGATCAGAACAATGAGCTGCCGGTGAGGAGGCTGCAGCGGCAGCAGCAGCAGTTTGGCAAGCAGTGGGGCGGCGGCGGCAGCAGCGGCGCCGGCGGCGGTGGAATGCGCTGCCTCCGCTCTGTGGTGGAGGGTGCTGCTGGGTGCCAGGGCTGGCCAGAGGCAGCCCCCTCGCCCCCAACACCGTCCATGCCTGCCGCATTCGGCGACATGAGCGCCGCCCCCATCTCGCCTTTTTTTCCCCCGCCGCATTGTCGCCGTCCCCATCCTCCCACATCCCCCCCGTCACTGCCGCAACAAGCCGCCGCTCCTCCCCTCCTGCCCCCTCCCCCGCTCCTGCCCTCCCCCAACCGCTCCTTGCACCCCCGCTGCACCCCCTGCCGCAGATCTTTGGCACCTGTACCATCTCCGGCGCCGGCGCCTCCACAGACCCAGACCATTGGCGGGTGGAGCTCATCAAGTGCGGCACAGACCCGTGCGGCATCAACGGCAACCTGCCCCCCGGCTTCCAGGACTACGCAGCCTGCGGTACCATCCCGCCCAACTGCGGCATGAGCCCCGACAGTGAGTCCAGCCCGCACGCGGCGCCGGGGAGCCGTGGCGGCCTGTTGGCACCCGCTCTCAGCCCCGCCGCCCCGCCGCGTCGCCACGCGCGGCGCGCGCTTGGCCTGGGTGCACATCCCGGCAATGCCGCGGGCCCCATGCATCCCCCTCTCCCCTCCCCCGAACCTGCCCTGCCTCTGCAGACGGTTTTGTGGCATACGACGGCATCCGTTATGTCTCAAATTACTCCTACACCATACCCGATGCCTGGGAGAACGCCCCCACTTTCTACTTCTGGCGCTGCTTCTACCTGTGCGACGCCACAGACCCCTCCTCGGCCGAGCTGCGGGCGGAGGCCAGCTTCACGGTGGTGAGCCTCCCTGCCGGTACCGCCCCCTGTACCATCCTGCCGGGACCATGCACCCAGCGGGGGCGCCCGGTGGCGGCAGCGGTGTGGACTTCGGCCTCTAGAGTTGGATCTGTTGCTGCCTGTGTGAGCCTCCGCTTGCACGTGGTGCCATGGTGCCATGCAGGGAGACCCGCTGCCGCGGCCGCCGCCACCCAGCCCGCCCAGGCCGCCGCCGCCGTCGCCGCCGCCGCGGCCGCCGGGCCGCCCTCGCCGCGCCCGCCCAAGCCCTCGCCGCCGCCCAAGCCGCCACCGCCGTCCCCGAAGCCGCCCAGGCCGCCACCGCCGTCCCCCAAACCACCCAGACCGCCGCCGCCTAGCCCGCGGCCGCCTCCAAGCCCCCGCCCGCCACCAAGTCCCCACCCTCCTCCGCGGCCCAGCCCGCCGCCCCGGCCGCCACCTTCTCCCCGCCCACCGCCTCCCAGCCCGCAGCCGCCGCCATCGCCGTCGCCGCCACCGCCCGGACCCCCAGACCCGCCCTCGCCACCTCCACCCAGCCCGCCACCGCCCTCTCCGCCGCCGCCAAG